GCAGAGGGGCTGCTTTGAGGACTTGGCAGTGGCCTGGTCTCCAGACTCTGCTCCTGTGGGCTCCGGCTCTAGTTTGAGGAGGCCATGACCACAGGAAGAGGCCAAACCTCTACCTGCCACTCAGGACAGCCAGGGCAGGGCACCATCACCAGCAGAGAGCCCTTGTCTCCCTCAGCTTCTGAGAAGGCACAGGCTTTCTGGGACCCTGAAACTGGAGCTGCACTGGCAGGAGTTATGCTCAAAGAACCATCTCACACACAAACACAGCACACAGCACACACACACACAACACATACAACACACAAAACACACTACACACATAACATGCAACTTACCACACACCACACACCACACACACAGCACACACAACAAACCACACACACATCACACATGATACACACAACACACAAAACACCACACAAAACACACCACGCACACAACAGACCACACACCACACCACGCACAACACACACAACATACAACACACATAACACACACAGCACTCTACACACAGAGCACACCACACACAACACATCACACACAACACACACAGCAACATACAGAACACAACACACACAGCACACACAACACATACAGAACAGACACAACACACACAGCACAAAAAGACACAGAGAACACACAACACACACACCATATACACAATATATACAGAACACACACAACACACAGAACACATACAGCACACACAACACATACAGAACACACAACACACACAGCACAACACACAGAGAACACACAACACACACCATACACACAACATATACGAACACACACAACACACAGAACACATACAGAACAGACACACAACACAGCACACACAACACATACAGAACAGACGCAACACACAGAGAACACAACACACACACACGCACACACACTGCATCACCAGCCAGAGCCTTCCAGAACCACCAGGAGTGGATGTAGTGGCCCAGCTGTCATGGATAACCACAAACTGGGTGGCTCACCACAGAGGAAGTGATCCTCTCCCAGTCCTGGAGGCCGGAAGTGCAAGATTCAGGTGTCTCAGGGCCACACTGAGAGGGCCTTCCCCAGAGGCTCTAGGGAAGGCTCCTTTCTGCCTCACCCAGCTCCAGCAGGCTCCAGGCATCCTGAGCTTGTGGCCACCTCACTCCACTCTGCCTCTGCAATCACACGACTTCGTGTGTGTGGGGGTACATGTGTGTGTGTGTGCAATGTGTATGTGTGTGTTTCTGTGAGTGTGTGTGAGCGTGTGTGTGTGTGACTATGTAGGGGTCAGCATGCGTGTGTGCATGTGTATGTGTGAGCATGTTTGTGTGTGTCTGACTGTGACTGTGTGTGGGGTGCATGTATGTGTGTGTGCAATGTGTGTATGTGTTTCTGTTGGTGTACGTGTGTGGTGTGTGCATGTGTGTGTACATGTGTGTGTATGTGTGACCGTGTTTGTGTGTGTCTGACTGTGTGTGTGACTGTATGTGTGGGGGGTGCATGTATGTGTGTGTGTGTGTGCAGTGTGTGTATGTGTTTCTGTTGGTGTATGTGTGCATGTGTGTGTGTACGTGTTTGTGTGTATGTGTGTGGGGTGTGGGTGCATATGTGTGTGTGTGCAATGTGTGTATGTGTTTCTGTTGGTGTACGTGTGTGGTGTGTGCATGTGTGTGTATGTGTGGGGGGTGGGTGCATATATGTGTGTGTGTTTCTATGTGTGTGTGTGCATATGCATGTGTGCAAAATCTCCCTCTTGTAAGGACACTTGTCGTCACCTGCAGGGTAATCCCCCATTTCAAGGCCCTTCACTTGATCACCTCTCCAAACACCGTACTTTCAAATAAGGCTGCATTCCAGTTCCAGGGATGGGGCACAGAGATCCCTGTGGGGCATTGTGAGCCTACCACTGGGCTGCAAGTGGACGTGGACTTGGCCCCTGATGCCTTGGAGTAGGGGCTGGGACCTCAGCCAGGGAAAGAGTGGGCATGAGAAGGCCGGGGGTGGGGGGCCCAGGCCCAGCCAAAGGTGCCCTCACTTCAGGGCTAGCAAAGGAGGGACTTGGGCAAGGAGGGGGCACGGCCCAGAGGCCCAGAAGAGGAAGGGCCTGGTGACCAGACAGGGGCCAAGGAGCTGGGAGAGAAAGAAGTTATGGGAGGGGAGCGGGTGCTGAAGGGGCTGGAGGCAGGTGCTGAGACAGGAGAGATGGGGGTGAGATTGGGGGTGAGGCAACAGGGTGGGTGGCGGGCAATGGCTTTGGTATCTTGGGCTGAGAGAGCCTTTGAGCTGTCTGTATTGCCAGGCAGTCATTGGCAATGTGGGAGATTGGAGTGGGAGCCCTAAGGAGGTCTGCCCAGGGCTTGCGGGGCAGGTTGGCTTGGGACCCGGGAGGGCTGGAAGGCAGAGTGTTCTGGACATCCCTGGGGCTGGCTCCCTTAAGTACCTCTTTACTGATGGAGGGTCCGAGAGGGGCTGGCCAGTGAGCAAGGATCACCAGTGACACTGGCAGCCTTTGCCTGGCACTCAGGTGTCCTCATTCCCAGGCCTGGGCCCTCCCTCCCAGCCCCGGGGCTCTGTACTGGGAACCAACAGATGCATACCACAGAGAAAGGACCATCCCCTCACCTGTCCATCGGCTGTTTAGGGACCACAATTTGCTGAGGACTGGGGACTTCCATGACCCTTTGTTCCCTGGCCATCTGACCCTGGCCTCAGCAGGACTCATCACAAAGGTATGCACCACAGTCAGCTCTTGGCTGGATCAGCCGTGAGCAGTGCCCTGGGGGCCTGGGAGAAGATGCAAAGTGGTGGGGCAGGTAACCCCACCTCAGAATTTCTCCCAGGAACTTACTTCCTCCCCCTGGCCAGAGAGGGCATGTGCTGAGTCCGAGGTCAGAGAGCACGGAGTGGGAGATGCATGAACACCCAGCCCAGGCAGCAGCTGCTCCAAGCTCAGGGAGATTCCTCCATGTGGATAGCAGCCATCAGTTAAATGAACAACCTCCATCCTCCAGGGGGTGCTCAGTATGTTCCCTGGTCCCAGAGAGAAGACGATAACCAGTGGCACAGCCCAAAGGGAGTCCTCTCTTCTTGTCAGCTCTCACACCCACTCCTAAACCTTTAAGTGTGGGTCTCCCCAGCCCCACACCCTGCCTCCCAGAGCTGCCCACACCTGTCCGATAAGAGGTGTTTGCCTTCAGCCGGGACCCACCCCTTGCCCAAGGGATGCTCTTGCTGGGGGCCACCAAAGGAGGCCGGCTCAGCAGGCTGCCTCTGCCTTTTCTCACTGGAGCAGGGCCCTGGGGCCTGGGGTGGAAGGACATGACCCCAGGGGGCCTGCCACTGTGTCCCTTGTGGGAGGCCAAGAAGGGACACAACCTGAATGCTCCTGTGCTCACAGCTCCTCTGCCCTCCTGTGGTGCCAGGGGCCAAAGTCCAGCTTCCAACCTGCTCCGGGTGGGTGGGATCTGGTGCCCTCTGGGGCTTCCCTCACCCATCTGGAATGTGGGGTGGGAAGACGAGCGGCTCCTCCAAGATGGCCAGAACTCAGCTCATGACAAATTTTCAGCATGATTGAGGCTTGCTTCAGTCCTGATTTTTCCCATCTGGGACCACGAGAAGTCACTGCCTGTGTGTGGGAGAGGGGGCCGGGGGTGTCCTGACACTGGCTCCAGGCCCTGAGGAGCAGCCTACCGCATATGCTCCAGGCTCTAGGGTTGCAAGAGTCAACACCCAGGAAAAGCTTCGCCAGAGTTGGAGTGGAAGGGGACTGTGTGAGTATGTGAATGAATGTGTGTGTGAGTGTCACTGCGTGTGCAAACTGAGTGGGGAGTATGTATGTGACTGTAACTGTGAGTGTATGTGTATGTGTGTGCCCTTGTGTGTGCTCACTGGGTGACTGTGAGTTGTGTAGCTGTGAGAGCGTGCAACTATGCATGAATCCCTATGTAACTGTGTGGGCCACTGAGCATCTGTGGGTGAGGGTGTGAGCACACATGAGTGTGAGGATGCATGTGTTAGAGATTGTGAGAGTGTGTGCATGAGTGTGTGTGTTGGTGAAAGCAGGCGAGTGCGCATGAGTTCGTGCATATGAGCAGGTGTATGTATGTGCATTGGAACGGGGGAGTGTGGGTGTGCCTGTGAGAGGGTGTGAGTAAGCCCATGTGAGCGCACATGTGAGCAGGTGTGTGCGTGTGTGTGTGTGAACCTCAGCCCACACTGAGAGGTGCCAGGGCCTTGGGCCTGGCTCTGGGATGGCAGATCTCACTGGCTTTCCACGGAATCAGCTACTTCCTGGGGAAGGGAGGGGCAGTCTGTGGGGGTTGTGACAGTTCCATGGTTGCAGGGGCAGCAGAACCTTCATGTTCTTTTGGTCTCTAGCAGAGTGGTACCTCCTTAAAGAGACCATTCCTGAGCCACCAGCACCCTCTTTCGTGGCTCCCCATCAATGGAGTCCCATGGCCCTGCCCCCAGCGGTTTGGGTGCATTTGCCATCTGCTGGCCACTCCCTGTTTTGTGGTCCCCGATGTGTTCCCAGTGCTCAGCTCTGGTCTGGCACACAGGATGCCCGGGGCCCTATTTGTCCAAGGCAAGAAAGAATTCGAGGCTGTGTCCAGGCCTCCTGCACCTGCCCCAGGCTCCCGCCCTGACCCCCTACCTGTGCCCCAGCCCCGCCTCTGCTCTCTGCTCAGAATGCTGGCAAAGGCCACTCTGGGGTCAGAGGCCTCCACTGGCCCTGGAGCTAGGAAGCCTGGGAGTCCCAGGCAGGCACTGGGGTCTCTGTCCAGGTAGGTGGGAACTCGTGCTTGTGGGCGTGTCCAGGTGTCTGCCCTGGGGTTTGTCTGTGTGTCTGTTTCCACTCACAGCGGGGATGCTTGTGCCCCTGCGTGTCTGGCTCTGGTGCCCACCTGTGTGTGGTCTGTGTCCTGCCTAACGGTGTTCCCGGGATAATCTTTTGCCATCACCCGTGGTGAGGATCTCTGGTAAACACGGCTTCCTCTGGGAAGACGAATTTGGACGCCGGAACTCTCCACAGGTAGCGAGGCTACAGGAGCTCACCCGTGGATTGGAGCCCACTGAGGCAAGGCCCAAGGACCCCATGCTACACATTAGCCACCCGGCTCCACGTCCCAGTTTCCTGTTGGGGAGACGCACCTAGAAGGCAGGGGTCTGGAGAGGTAGCGCCAGCCTTTTGCCCCAGTCGCAAGCTCACTCGGGGTGCTCTCTCTGCAGTCACAGGTGCCGTGATTTCCCAGTTGCCAGCCCCACCCACCCCCAACTCCTCCAGTGCCCTTTGGGGGAAATGCCAGGCCAGGAAGGGCGGGCATCCCCGCGCATCCTGGGGACAGAAGGGCGGACACCGGGTTCGGGAGCCCCGAGGCCCCTGCGCCGCGCACCGCCCCCCGCGCCCGCTCCCTCCTCCCTCCCTCCTCCTCCCCCGGCTCTCTTCCCCCACCCCCCTCCCTCCCTCCGCGCTCAGAGCTGCGGCTGGAGTCGAGCGCGCAGCGTCGCCCGCCGCTAGTGCAGAGCGTGGGGAGCACTCCGCCGCAGCCCTCGCCCGCCAAGGAGGGTTGCGTCCCGCGCCGCCGGCCAGGCAGCCCGGTGCCCGGGCCTTTCCGTCCTTGGAGCGGATCGTTGCCCGCCGGGCGCCCGCCCGCAGCGACAGCGCCCGCCGGAGCGGAGGCCGCGGCAGCGGCTGTGCCCATGCCCGGGTAAGTGGTGCTTGGGGCGCGCGGGCGCCACCGGGGTGGGCGCGGACGCGGCGCGGGCATAGGCGCAGGCGGGGCCCGGAGGATGGCCCAGCAGGTGGCGCGGCGGCAGGTGGGGGGACGCGGGTCCCCACGCGAGGCACCTGCGCCCCGCACGGGGCCTGCTTGTCCTTGCGGCACCGCGGCCGCGCGTCACCCGGGGGCCCCAGGCCGGCGGGCAGCGCCCGGCATCCTGCACCCTGCGCCCTGCGCCCCGCATCGCACGCGCAGGCGCATCTGCGTCTGAAGAACAAGGCCGTTGGGGGCCGCGGGCCGGGTCTCAGGGTGGGCACAGCCGGGGGAGTGGGATCTGGGCCGGGAGCCCGCGGGTGCGCACGCACCTTCCCGGAGCCTCGGGCCCCCTCCCTCCGCACCCTCACACTGTATCATCCTCCCCCTCTCGCGTTCCCACACCGTCCCCACACGCCCACGGGGCTGCCCTGGAGACCCCACCGCGGTCCTGGGCAGTGCCCACGAGGAGCCGACCGGGGCGCACTTAGGTAACTTCTCCATCCCTTCCGGAACAGCTGTCTCCCCCTCCTCGTCTCTGTGACCTTGGCCAGCCAGCTTTTACTGTGGTCACCTCCGTTTTCTCAGGGGTGAAAGCTTTGACTTTAAGATTCTGGAATTTGGAATGGCAGGTGCCGCATCTCCCAGACCCTGAGATGATGGACTGCTCTCTCTAGGACCTGGTCTCCTTCCCTCTGCTGGCCCTTCTGGGAGTTAGTGGCTCAGCCAGCTGGCTGAGAAGGGGTGGGAGGTAGGGCAGGTCAGGGCTGGAGGGAGTCTTGGAGAGCCCTCCAGGGTGAGGGCTCCTTGAGGGTTTGGGAGAGACTGTGGAAAGGCTCCTTCACTCACTCAAGGGGCAGGGAAGGGACCAGAATTCCTCAACTAGATGCTTGCTATTTCCTGGTGAGGCCATATAACTTTCAAAGACCTCCAGGGCCTCCTACCTCAAGGGAGTCCCCGTCTGCTGAAGGGTCAAGTCCAGCCTGTCCCCAGCTGGCCCCCATCTTGAATTCTGCTGGCACCCTACAAGTTAGCTGACCTCCTCTGGCTGACTTGGGCACCAGTCTGGCAGGCACCCCCTGCACCTCCTCCCCTCCTTTGCCCACTAGGCTCTGTACCCTCACCCCTGCCATCACCCCTCACTAGTCAGTGACGGTGTTAAGGCAGGGACTGGCTCTTAACTTGCACGGGCTGCTCGAGTGCCCAGCACAGGCCTGGCACAGAGTGGGCACCTGGTTTCTGCATGGCATATTCACGATCTTGACCTCACTGAATCTGCAGACTCACTGAATAGGAGAGGTGAGGATTGGATTTTTGTCCCCATTTTTCAGATAGGATCATTGAGGCCCCAAAGAGGAGAAGGGACTCGGTCCTGAATTGAGGCTCCTTCTTTCATGAGTAGATGGCTGGGGACATTCCTATAGTCCTGGTGATGGGGGGAGAGGTTATCTTCCTGAGCTCCATCTGAGTCTCATATCAACCACAGGAGTAAACACACTTTTCACAGATGAGGAGAGGGCTGGGGGTGCCTAGGCCCCTGCAGGACTCAGCTGAGACTCAGTAGAGGGTCCCAAGGTGAGGTCAGGCCCTCCAGTCTGCGCCATCAGAAAGTGCTGGGCAGTTGTGGTCCCGGGCCATTGATTGTCCCTGCTGCTGGCCCCAAGGCGGGGAAAGGCCAAGGACATAGCCAGTCTCTATCAGCTCCACCTGGGCTATGCCCAGCAATGCCAGGTGGTTTGAGCACAGGGGCAAGCATGCTCTCACACAGCAGGGGGTAACAGGCAGATGGAAGTGGGGCAGGCGTGGGAGGGGGCTTTGCACAGAGCCAGAATGAGAGCTGGTCCTTTGAGGAAGGAAGTCCCCAAGGCTAAAAGCATACCAGTGGACAGCCATGACGCCAGGCAGAAGAGATGCTGCAATTGGCTCCCCAAGAGGCAAGGAAGGGGCCAGAGGGGGCTCGTGCGGCTGCCTGGGGCTTCTGCGACAGCAGCTCCATGCCTGATGGTCTTTGTAACCTTGGCCAAGTCCCTTCTCCATCCCAGATCCAGGGAGGTGGGGGTGGGCCTGGGTGAGCTGGAGCTTCAGAGGTTGAATCATTCACTAGCAGGAGAAGCCGAGTCTGTGAGTCAGTGAGTGCTCTCCATCCCAGAACAGCTGCTCTCAACCCAGGGATGCAGCCACGGAGTGCCGAGGTCAGATTTGGAGGCCCCTCTGAGGATGTCTTGTGGAGAGGGGCCCCTTGCCTGTCCAGTAGACAGGATGAGGGTGCCCCTGAGCCCCAGGGGCTTCTGAGAGCTGAGTACCCGCTGGGCATCTTGCAGCCAGCAGAACCAGGCAGAGCTTCCTCTGGCCTTTGCACCTCCTCCCCCACCTCACAGAGCAAGTCATCAGCATATATGAACTCCCTTCTGATTTGAAATTGATGACAATAGTTATAATGGCAGTCACTTTATGTCAGATACTGAGTGCTCTGCAGACATTCCCTTGCCCACTTAATTGAAACAACAACAAATGATTGTAACCCCATTTTGCAAAGGAGAGTGAGACCCAGAGAGGTCAGGTGACTTGCCCAAGGTCACACAGCCGGTAGGTAGCAAATCCGGGGCTGGAATGCAGTCCGTCGGGCTCCGGAGTCTGGTCTGTTCCTGTATCTTGTGAACTCACTGTCTGGGGTAACCCCAGCTCTCTGGGCTGAGGCCGGGTATTCTTGAGAAGAACTTGCACCTCTGCCCCCTCTACCCAGTGAGAGAAATGGACAACAGGTGGATTTAGATCAATCTCCAGGCTTAGAAGTCAGGCACTCCGAAGCACTGGTGGTACATGTCAAGGGCAGCAGAGAGATAGGGACCTGGGCTGTGGCATCGAAGGCAGATGCTTCCATCTAAGCACTTGTGAACCTCACCAGTGCCATCTCTGACATGGGCCGAGGCACTGGGCTCTCGCTGTGCTGTGACTTTGCAGCAAGCTCCCAAGCAATACCATGGGCTGGGTATGCAAGGCAGAGACCCGGAGCATTCACAGGGCTCCTCCCTTCCCTGCCCTGGCTAAGCTGGCAGAAGCTAGGCCAAGCGGTGCCTAGCTAGAAGGCCCTCCCCTGCCTGGGCTCCTTCTGTTGGGTGGGTGGTGCTGGCAGCAGGCCTGGGAGCCTGCAGAAAAGGATCAGAGCCACGCATCACTGTCACCGGGGCAGAGGGAAGGAAGCTCTCAAATGTAGGGGAATTCGGGCATCCTGGACTGCGCAAGGTTAGGAAAGGGACAAGTCCAAGGTCACATGGCTGAGTAGGTGGCAGAACCCAAATCAGAGCAACAGGGCAAGGGTGGAAATGCCAATGGTTGGGGAATCTTGGGTCTGGCAGGCCTCTGAGCATGAGGAGTTTTCCGGAATCAGTGTCCTTGGAGAGCATCGTATTTAAAGTGGTCCTGAGCCAGCCTCTCTTGTTCTGTAGGTGGCTCCTTCAGGAAATGAGCAACCATTTTCTTCCAATGGGAAGTTGTCCCCTGAGGCCACAGGCCCAAGGCACTTTCTCCAGCTTCGCTGTGCAAGGTTTTATTAGAATGCACTTCCTCAGGTGCATAAGGCTGGTGGCTACCATCACAGACATTTTTCGTCACTCCAAAATGTTCTGTCACACAGAGCTGCCTTACAGGAAATGGAAACCCGAGTCCTCACATGGACCCTGAAACCACCTCCCACACCCACTCCCTGGTGGCACAAGGCCACTGATGCATCAGCTTGGGCTCCCGCAGAGAACCATCTTGAAGAGAAGCCCCAAAGAGGGCTGACCGGTCACAGATATTTGAAGATGTGTTCTGTGATGAGGTGAGCTCAGTCTGAAAGCTTGACAGGTAGGGGCAGAAGGTGCCAGGCTGGGCTTGAGCGGGTCGTTCCTCAGAATGGATGAGCGCATTCCATTGTCAGGAAGGGCCAGTCATGCCAGGGGCCACACCTTGTTCACGTGATGGGCATGAGGGACACTACCCTTGTTCACTTCGGGCCACGCTCCGTGTTTGCTGCCCTCCTGGAGCCTCTGCACTTTGCTACGTGTTCACCAAAGTAAAAGCACAAACCTGGCTGAGGCTGGGAGGATGGACAGAGGCCACCAATCCTGCCAGTATCTCCTGGGGCTCCAGTCCACAACCTGAGTCCCTGCCCATCCTTCCCTGACCCCGCCTCCTCTGCAGCCACACGTAGCTGATGGCTACCATATGGGACAGTGCAGAGAGGGAACATTTCCATCACTCTGGAATGTTTTGTCACACAGAGCTTCTTTAGAGCAAATGGAGACCCGAGTCCTCACCTGGACCTATATGTCCCCGCCAAGCCCACTGCCCCACAGCTCCTAGAGGGGCACACCGCCAAGCAGGGGCTCTCTGAGAGTTGCTGAGATACCTGGACAGAGAAGGGAGGAGGGAAAGGGCCTCCATACTAGTAGCCCACCGTTTCATGGGGGATGCCCAGACCTTGACTTGTGCTGACTCCGTGCACATCCAGGATGGGGCAAAAATCAGATCCAGCCACCGCCTGGCCCTTGTGAGGCCCCACTGCGTGTGCTCAGGAAACAGCAAGGAGGAGCCATGGGTTTTTTTTAAAAAATAACATTGATTTCTTCCTATTTAAAGACAATCCTCTTAACATGCTCTCTGTAGGAAACGTATGAAACACAGAGAAGTCGAAGATGGAGTAAAGATCACGTTTATTTCACATCACTGTCATTATTCCATGGGCTCAATTGTGTAATTCGGTTTTTACTTTATTAATGTAATCCCTTCCTAAATGAACGATTTTTCCAAAATGCTTATAGTTTAATTTTTTTAAGATTATGAACGCAGTAAGTGCTTATTGCAAATAAAGAATGATCTTGAACCGTGCAAAGAAATTTGATCATTCAACAGTTATTTACCAAGCACCCGGGATGTATCAGGCAGCCCTCGGTAATTACAATTTTCAATGGCTG